TCCTTCTTCAGAAATCTACTCCTTGTTATCTCAGATTCTCCAGCATCTGCAGTTCCTACTATCTGTGAGTATTCATGACAACATGCCTTATTTGATTTAATTGGACTTGATTTATTGTAGTCACATGTACCTAAGTACAGTGAGAAGCTTTTTTTTTTGCGAGCAGTATAGGTAGATCATAGTAAGCAAGGACATACAGATCATAGGGTGCTTAGACAGAGTGAGGCATTCAGTTCATACTGCACAGGAGGTGCACAAAGCAAGATCAACATTAACAAGATCAAAATTATTTGAAGTTAGAGAGTCCATTCATTAGTCGAATAATGGCAGGGAAGAAGTGTTCTTGAACCTGTTGGTGCGTGTGTTCAAGCTTCAGTATCTTCTGCCTGACGGAAGAGGTTGTCGGAGAGGATTACCAGGTAGGAGGGGTCTTTGATGATGTTGACAGCCTTTCTGCAACAACAAGAAGTGTAAATAGAGTCCATGGGTGGAAGGTAAGCTTCCGTGATGGTCTGGGCTGTGCACACAACCTTCTTTAATTTCTTATGGCCCTGGGCAGAGTAATTGTTGTACCAGGCCGTTATGCATCCAGATAGTATGCTTTCCCTGGTGCATCTGTAAAAGATGGTTAGGGTCCTATGGACATGCCAAATTTCCTAAGCCGCCTGAAGAAGAAGAGGCATTGTTGTGCCTTCTTAGCTGTTGCATCTATTTGGGAGGTCCAGGATGGGTTGTAGGTTATCGTCACTCCTAGGCACTTGACTCTCTCAAACCTGTCCACTTCTGCTCCGTTGATGAAGATGAGGCTGTGTCCTCCTCCTTTCTTCCTGAAGTTAATGATCAGTTCTTTTGTTTTGCCAACATTGAGAGAGAAGTTGTTATCATTGCACCATGACACCAAGCCCTCTATCTCCTTTCTGTATTCTGACTCATCATTGTTTGATATCTGTCTACCACAGTGACGTTGTGAGTAAACTTGTAGATGGCGTTCGTATGGAATTTGGTTATACAGTTGTGGGTGTACAGGGAATACAGACCTGCGAATGCATCCTTGTGGGGTGCTAATGTTGAGGATTATCATGGAGGAGGTGCAGTTGTCTATCTTCACTGATTGCATTCTGTGGGTCAGAAAGCTGAGGATCCAGTTGCAGAGGGTGGAGCCAAGACCTAGGCCTTGGAGTTTTGAGATCAGTTTGGAGGGAATTATGGTGTTAAAGACAGAGCTGTAGTCGATGAGGTGTCCTTGTTGTCCTGATGGTCCAGGGATGAATGTAGGGCTAGGGAAATGGTGTCTGCTGTGGACCTGTTTCATCAGTAGGCAAATTGAAGAGGATCGAGGTAAGCTGGGAGGCTTAAGCTGATGTGAGCCATGACCAGCCTCTAGAAGCATGTCATGATTTATGGAGGACAGAGCCACTGGGCAGTAGTCATTAAGGCACGTTGCATGTACTTTCTTTGATACTGGGATAATGGTGGTCATCTTGAAGCAAATATGGACCTCAGCTTATAGGAGAGAGAGGTGGAAGATGTCACTGAATACCTCCATCAGCTGGTCTGCACATGGTCTATGTGCATGGCCGGGGACTCCATCCGGGTCCCTCGCTTTCCTTGCGTTGACTCTCAGGAGGACCAGTCTGATGTCTGCAACGGTGACGGAGGGAACAGGTGCATCCAGGGCTTTCGGGACAGGTGACACACGCTGCTGGCATTCTGCTCGAACTGAGTACAGAAAGCAGTGAGCACTTCAGGGAGGGATGTGTTTTTGTTCACTATCTTGCTCTGCTTCACTTTGTAGCCTGTTATTTTGTTCAAGCCTTGCCACAGGCAACGGGTGTCCGTTTGGTTGGTTTGGGCCTCTAACTTGGTCCGATACTGCCTCGTGCTGTCTCTGAATGCTTTGCGGACATCATATCTTGATTTTCGGTATAGATCTGGGTCGTCCGACTTGAATGCTGCATGTCTAGTCTTTCGTCATCAGTACATTTTCCGGTTCATTCAAGGTTTCCAGTTGGGAACACTCGGATTGACGTCTTTGGCATGCAGTCCTCCACGGACTTGCTAGTGAAGTCCGTGACAATGGTGGAGTACTCATCTAGGTTGTCTGTTGTGTTCATGAATATGGTCCAGTCCACTGATTCCAAGCAGTCCTGGAGAAGCTCTTCTGCTGCCTCAGACCAGCACAGAAGTACATTCTGTAAAGGATCGTCCCATTTCAGTTTCTGCATCTAAGCTGGGAGGAGGAACACAGCGTATGATCTGATTTTCAGAAGTGTGGATGGGGAATGGAGCAGTAGGCATCTTTGGTGGTTGTGTAGCAGTGGTCCATGATGTTCAGTCCTCTAGTGGGGCAGGAGATGTGTTGGTGGTATTTTGGCAGCACACACTTGAGGTTGACCTAGTTGAAGTCACTGGCCATGATGAGCCCTTGAGGAATTTCATCTCCAGAGTGTTTGTACACATGTAAATTTCATCCAAGGTATTCTTCAGATTCGCATGGGGTGGTATGTAAACTGCTGTCAGGATGGCGGAGGTGAACCCACACGACAGATAGCAGGGAAGACATTTCACTGTAAGGTATTCTAGGTCTGGGGAGCAGTGGCTCACCAGAGTCAGCACATCTGAGCACCAGGAAGTGCTGATTAGGAAACATACCCCTCTGCCTTTGCCTTACCTGAGGGCGCCGTGCGGTCCATGCGATGTATGGAGAACCCCTCAGCTTGCAAGACACAGTCAGGTATGGCAGTAGTGAGCCATGTAACCATAAAACAGAGCACACAGCAGTCTCTCAGTTCCCTTTGGAAGGTAAGTCTAGATCTGAGTTCATCCATTTTGTTCTTGATAGTTTGGACGTTTGCTAGGAGTATATTGGGCAGGGTGACTTGAAACCGTGTTGTTTCAGTCTCTTGAACATCTTGGACATGCAAAGTGTTTATTGATGCTTGAGATTTCCATATTCCTACATCCCTTGAAATTGGTATTGCATATGCTGTCTTTATGATATCTTCTGATCTGAGGAGGGGTTCTTGAGGCATTCTCAGATATCTTTTCTTTACTCTGGCTACTTGCCTTCCTTTCATTCTTCCATTCTTCCTCCTTATGGACTGTATTCAGGAGTCAGAAAAATCATAGAATCCCTACAGTGCAGATAGAGGGCATTTGACCTATCGAGTCTGTTTTGACACTCCAAAGAGCATCCCACCCAGACCCAACCCATCCCTGTAAAACCACACTTACCATGGCTAATTCATCTAGCCTGCACATCCCTGGACACTATGGGGCAATTTAGCCAATTGGACCCAATTTGCCTTCTTCCTCATGGGACCTGCCCCCTTCCCTTGATCTGAGGCTGATCCACCACCATTCTCTATCCTCCAGACTCAACCTACCCCATTCCCCCACTGCCAGACGCAATACAAAATGCCATCCACTGCACAGTCCTGACACCCATCCTCACCTGCCCTCCACCAAAACTGATTTCTCCCAACCCCCTGACCTGGCCCAAATGCTGCCTAACTTACCTGGCCCGTTTGCACCATGCCCCCTACCCACTTGACACCCTACTCCCTAATCATGCAGCATCCTACCCACCCTGCCCCTGGCAACCCACCTACCTGGCATCTTACCCACAGCAACTTATTCTCTACTTGGTAACCTACCTACATGCTTCCTCATGGCATCCGACCCAGCTGGCACCATTCATACTTGGCACTCAACTGCCCAACCCACCCCAGTACCCTGCCCTCCTGGCATTCTAATCTCACACTTATCTTATGTCCTTACCTTTAGACAGCAGTTGTCGAAGTTCCTGTTGGAACATTTAAATATGAAAATCTAGCAGCAGCTGACTGATGTGACAAAGGGAGCATGGTTTGCCTTTCTCTCATAGTTCTTCACTCAGAAGCTCTCTCCTTTCATAAAATAAAGGGTCAGAGTGGCAATCTATGTGAGATTTTACAAGGTGTGGCACAAAGGGCAGCAATCTATGTGAGATTTTACAAGGTGTGGCACAAACGGCAGCAGTCTATGTGAGATTGCCACCCTTTGTGCCACACCTTGTAAAATCTGGCCCACAGTTTTCTAGCTCCAGTGTGGACCACAGGATTCAATGAGTTGTTTTCTCTCGCTTCCTTTTAATTCTTTGATGCTGGCACAAGCTTATCTCTCCATTGATGGTCAGTCACTCATTCACTGGTTGAGAATTTGTCCTTTCAACATCTGTGAAAACATTTTTATTTGTCCTTCAACAGGCAATTTGCAGAGGAAAGTGAGTGGAAGCCAGCTATCTGTCTCTAGTACCTCCACACAGGAGAGAGCAAAAGATTTTTGTTGCTTTCTCTTCGCAGGCTAGATGTTTCTGGACAACCAGCCTCACATAAGCCACGGTCACCTAGTCAGAAATCAATCAAAATTTTGTGGTTGAGCAATTATCCCCTCGTTCAGAGTCTATCAACTCCGTTCGGACTGCTTTTTAGCTCTCACTGTTCCAGGACAAGACAACATGATCCTCAACTCTCAACATGCTCCAATTCTTCTTAGAGCCCACAGTCCAAAAGTAAAGGAAATTTTAATAATGTGGTCTTTGCAGTACTGATTCGGAAGAGTCAGCATGGATTTCTTCAGTGAAAATCATTTTGAACTAACTTGCTGGATCAAGCCTTGAATATTCAGGCTTTTGAATAGATTCAATGAACCAATCTCCACTGCTGTTTGGGGAGAGAATTCCAAAGATTAATATTCCTCTGGGAAAAGAAATTCATCCTCATCTCCATCCTAAATGGGCAATTTGTTATTTATATGTCCCCTGGTTCTAAATATCCTCACGAGGGGGAGCATCTTTTCTGTATCCAGTTGGACAATCCAGCTCAGAAATGTTTGGTCTGCATTTTCAGGGTTTCATTCACCAAAGCTCAATGTGATTTTCACTTAAGTCATTGAACATTAATCCTCCAATTCCGCATCTCCGAGGTTTGCTTCATTTCTTGTTTGTTTTTTTTTCCCAGGAATGTCCCAGCGGAGTTGTCAATGAGGAGACCTTTAAGCAGATTTACTCACAGTTCTTTCCACAGGGAGGTGAGTGAGAGTTCCAAAACATTCCAATAAACAAGGTGACTCCAATTCACTCCCCGTTGTTTCATAACGTCCTCCTGCATTCATGAAATGAGCAGCATCAGGTTATGGGATAACACAACGTGGAGCTGGAGGAACACAGCAGGCCAGGCAGCATCAGAGGAGCAAGAGCGCTGACATTTCAGGGAAGGGAGCTCTGAAATAAATAGAGAGAGGAGGGGTGGGGCTGGGGAAAGGTAGGTGGGATAGTGATAGGGAAGTGCAGGGAGGCAGTGGTGAGGATTGGTCAGTGAGGTGGGAGGAGCGGATAGGTGGGAGAGAAGACGGACAGGTCAAGGAGGCGGGGATGAGAGGGAGGGTTGGCCATGGGATGAGGACGGGGGTGGGGCCCAGCCCCTCTCATCCCCGCCTCCTTGACCTGTCCATCTTCTCTCCCACCTATCTGCTCCTCCCATCTCACTGACCAATCCCCACCACTGCCTACCTGAATTCACCTATCACCATCCCACCTACCTTCCCCAGCCCCCGCACCTCCTCTCTCTATTTAGTTCGGAGCTCCCTTCCCCCTCCTCCATTTCTGAAGAAGGATTCCAACCCGAAACGTCAGCTTTCCTGCTCCTCTGACGCTGCTTGGCCTGCTGTGTTCCTCCAGCTCCACACTGTGTTATCTCTGATTCCAGCATTGGCAGTTCTTACTGTCTCTGATCAGGTTATGGGAGTTGTTTAAAGAATGAAGACCCAAGCTCATTTAGTTTATAATTTGTCAGTCCTGATACAATTATAATGGAAATACTAAGTAATTGTGACACCTGATCTCTTCACCCTGCTCTGAACAGACCCAGGCAGAAGATGGGTATTACACTGGTGATAGAAAGCATTAGGACCCCCAGACTCCAAGGTCATCTGATTCTCCCAAACTGTCTACAAACACTAAACGTCATCTGTCATATTCCTCAAATAGTGTTTTCCAGGGTATTCTTTTTCTGAAAGGAATCCATCAAATGTACATTTGAATGAATCATTGCTAACGTCTCCCACCACACACCTCCCCCTTCCTGAAATACCCAATTCTTACCAGAGATGGGTGAGTAGAGAGTGTTTAGCCTCACAGCCAGCTCAACTGAGAGTCACACAAGGTGGGTAACCACAATCAGAAATTGGATGATGAGGGCCCAAGAGATTGGTGAAAAGAGAGTAAAAGGTTGCTGCTATCCTATCTGATAGTTTGTGCAGGGGGTTGATGGAGCAGGAGACGTTAACAAGGAATCAGATTGCCAGGGTGGATCTTGATTAATGTCTGATCCCAGTGCAGAAACAGATCATATTTTAGGACCAAAGTGTTGGATGTAGCATTCCTGCTCCTGCTGACCCCCAAGCAGTGATGTGAATACAGTTATCTGGAAAGCAGATTGGTTACTCACCAGACATACCATCTCTCCTACGATTGGAAGGGTGAAGGTTCCAGGTAGGTTTAAAATGGTATTGTTGATACTTTAAGCTCCAACACAAGCCCATGAATCTGTGGGTTATAATTTCTACTGAACTTTCCCACTTCAATCTTAGGTTGTGTCCTTTATTTCTACTAGTCAAGTCTTGTTCTGCACACAACCCCAATCACCAGCCTTCAATCTGAATTACAACAATCGACACAGGCTGCTTGTCAAACCAACGAGTTAAAACACAACTGCCCACCACTGAATATCAGACAGCTTAGCTCACACCAAGCAGGGCACCTGAGACAGATCCAAGCAAGAAACCTCCAACACTACTGCAAAGAGAATCTAAACCAAAAAGATCCCAAGAGCACATTACCATAAATTAAACAATTATGTAGTTATGGTTAATAATTATTTTTTACAATGAATAGCTACATACTGTAACTGAATAACGATAGACAGCAGCTGTAGACAGTAAGTAATTATTTTAGAGAACAGTTACAGAGTAAATAAGTTACAGACTGCAATTTATTATTGCACAGATTAGTTATAGACTGTAATAAATTATCGTAGAAAGCAATTACAGACTGAGGGATTAATGTAGAATGCAGTTACTGATGCAGTGAATTATAATAGAGCAGGTACAGACTGTCATTAATTATTACAAACAGCAGTTACAAATAGTAAGTGTTACAATGGAGAGGTCAACCCCCTTTTGATAACTAAAATCGAAACACCCAGAGAAGCTCGCCTCGCCTCATAAACCTGTTAAAGGAAGTGAGAAAAGTGGTATAACCTGCCTCTCACCCCCAAACTTCTATAAAGAAGTTGTTTAATAAAATAAAATCCTTTCACTCAATCTATAATCAACAAGTAACAATTTATTTGCCTAAATCTACCAGTGAACAAATTAACGGAATTACCAACAAACCAAACAATTCTCCTTTAACTACTAACTGTTCCTAAATAAACAAAATTCTAATGGTATGCTGTTCAAATAAATACAAGTCCCACTTATATAAACCAAAGTAATAAGAAAAAATAAATTACGACTTAGTCTTTCAAAATTTCAGCCAGGATAAATCTTCCACAATGCTATGTGCCCTGTCCACTGATCCTCAGGAATGCCTTCTCTGTCAAATTCTTGTGTTAGCAATATTAGCTAAGCATGCCGCTGTACTTTTAGTTTAGATGATTTTTTTTGAGAGCTTAAAGAATTCTGTGAGAGCCAGTGATTCTTTTATAGCTGGGAGCTATTCTCTTGGCAGATGACAGTTTATTCTCACACTGATTTTCTAATGCCCTCTTCTTTTATACCCTTGATGACCTATTAATTTCTGACGATAGGCTTAGTCCTAGGTTGTCAAAACCATCAGATTTAAATTTAATTGGGTTCTGGTATCTAGGGTCTGGTTTAAATTAAATGATGATTTGCTGCTAACAGTATAACCTTTTGATACAATGTTTCAATTTCAAGAACTCTCTCTGCACCTATAGATGCCTGTAGAATGTTTTTTAATCTCCAAGCCTAAAACAACCCATCATCTTTCAAAGGGACCACACACTCTTTCCCCCCATCATTTTACAAACATCAAATACTCTACCTGTCTTTGCAACATCCCCCCAAGAAAAAAATGAACCATCATGATGAAAAGATGGCTTCATTATTTTCTGTAAACCTCAACTCCATTATTACTAGATCCATAGGTCATTAATCTAAAGTTACACATTTCATACAAATTCTTTATATATATATATAACATTAAACACTACCATTTCTATCTTATATATATACATTTTCCTTTTAAACCCATGATAACGCATCTACAATAGCATTTTCATAACCCACAACATGTATAATCTGTAAATTAAATGATTGTAACATAAGACTCCAATGAAATAGCCTGGTGTTCTTATCTATAAATCTCTCCAAAACTGTCAAAGAGTTATGATCAGTGTACACATTGTCTCTGATACAATGTGTGCAACATAAACATTAAACTGTTGTACGTCCAGTACCAAACTCAATAACTCTTTTTCAATGCTTGAACGTTTTCTCTGGTAGATATTAAGTTTCTTTGAAAAATAACCGATTTGCCCTTCAATTCCACAATCATCCTTCTGTAATAACACAGCTCCAACATTTGCATCGCTTGCGTCGATGCAACAACTTTAAAGGGTTTCCAGAAATTTGATGTGGCTAAAACTGGCGCGGTAATTAACACTGCTTTTAACTTCTCAAATGCCTCCTGGCATTGGTCTGCGCACCAAAATTTCACTTTCTTCTTCAACAAATCTCTCAACAATGCCACCATGCTTCTGAAGTTTGGTGCAAATTTCCTGTATAATCCGCTTAGTCCCAAAACTCACAGCATCTCTTTTTTCGAGGATGGTCTTGGAAATTCCTCAAAAGCCTGCGTCTTCATGTTCATCGGTGTCATCCGTCCATGTCCGATGTCGTGTCCTAAGAATGTCGTGTCCTAAGAATATCTCTTCCAACTTCGCGAATTCTGTTTCTGCCAAATTTATGACCAACTTCGCCTTCCATAGTCTCTCAAGAAGCTCTGCCAAATCCACCATGTGATCTTTCCAGAAGTGGCTAAAATCACTAAGAGATCTATATAGACAACACAATCAGTCAATCCTGCCACAACTCTATTCATAAGTCTTTGAAAAGTGGCTGGTGTGTTTTTCATTCCAACACATCAAATTGATATAGCCCATTTGGGGTTACAAAAGCAGAAACTTTGTTCGCACTCTCCGACAAAGGCACTTGCCAGTAACCACAAAGTAAGTTCCACTTTGTGATGTAAGTGACTTGTCCAACTTTTTCCACACAGTCCTCCAGACTTGGAACTGGTATGAGTCTGATTTAGTCATGGCATTGACCTTCCAATAATCTATGCAGAATTTTTGAGTCCCATCAGGTTTGGGAGCCAACACTACCAGCGAACTGCATTTGCTTTGACTCGACGTGATGATGTCTTCTTGGAGTATTGCTTCCACTTCCTTCTGTACCTGTTCTGCTTTGGAAGGATTAAGTATGTAGGGGTGTTGTTTTATCAGAACAGCATTCCTTATGTCCACCTCATGAACTATAGTATCAGCCCTCCTCATTTTATTTCCACATATGTCCTGCAACAAATCTTGCAATTCAGTTCTCTCTTCCTGAGTCAGATAGCTTACTACCCTGTCCCATTCTTTAAGGACCTCCTCATTATTCAATTTACTCTGAGGCACATCAAAATCTGAATCATCTGAATTTGATTCCTCACTCTGAGTGGCAGTAACTAATACCTGTTTCTCCAGTTACCTTTCCCTGTCTTGGTGAAGTTTCAGCATGTTCACATGACATACCCAATAATTTTATTTCCTATCTGGCATCTTTACCAGATAATTCACCTGGCTTAACTTCTTCTCAATCTGATAGGGACAACTAAACCTTGCTTTGAAGGGAAACCCCATACCACTGGTAACAACACTAATACTTAATCCCCACTGGTAAATATACAAATTTTAGATTTCTTATCTGCTTCTTGCTTCATTAGATACTGTGCCACCTTCAAA